CTTGTATGTTTTGGATACTTACTAAAACAATGTATGAAAGTAATGCGAAAGTGGCCACTTTCATGAGTAATCACATAAGTTTTTACTATTTCTTTTCCATATGGGAGAGTCTGGCTGATCTTGATCTGGAGGGCATCTATAGTGAAATGGACCTGTCTTATCCTTTCACTTCAAAGGTGATTTTGTCCTCTCTGTAGAATCAAGTCTGCTCTGTATCCCCTGACAGTGGATCCAAGGCGCAGGCTATTAGGAACAACTCTGCTTTGTCTACATCTTAGGTTGAAACGGAGATAGACGCTAGTTTCCTTGATTCCTTTTCATACTCCCGCACCAGTTGAAGGGTGTTCCTCCCAAAATGTACGGCAATATGTCTGTGAAGGTCCTCAGTCATCCAGGTCATCGTAGTCAAAGGAGCTTGCAAAGAAAAGCATCTGGGCTTCTTTTCTTTGCAAGCTCCTTTGACTACCAAATCTCAAAGTTTTACTGCTTATATTGATTCCAATAATGAAAAGCCGCAGATCAGGTAATAATCTCTTCTGTTCCTGTTATATTTGTGCCCTCACAGAAATGACCCCCCCCCCAGTGGTTGCTCAGCAGTTGCGAATTGGTTTCTAGGCCTGTGTGATGGACAAATCAGTGAAGTTAAATAATTTTGATGGTGCTTTTATATGACGCACTGATCTACAGTGGAAATGGACAGTGGACTATTTTCTCTTTATTGCAAGTTTTGCTTTTGGATTGTTGTTCGATTGATCAGAGACTTTTGAAGAAACGAGTCTGAGCAAACTGTTACCTTCTGATATTAAGCTGGAGTAGAAAAAATAAATTCTTTAGTGAATTCTTAAACAGATTCTAATCATGACAATAACTGTTCTTGAAGTCAGTCTAAGGAGCTTGGAAAGAAAAGCGAATGGAAAGTTTCATGAAGACGTTCACCTCTCATTCAAGAAGCTTCAGAAGGTCTTCAGGAAGCTTCCAGCCCTTCTTCTTTCCAGCCTGCTGAGATTACCATGAGCTGGCTGACTGAGAACCTTCACAGACGATCTCTGTGTTATTTTCCAATTAAAAAGAGGGAAAATTGTCGCTCATTTCTTTTTAATGCAGTTCTATTAAGGTTTGTTTACAATCTTATCAAAATCCATATAACCCCTGTGTCATTAAAACGTGATTGTTTAGCATTTTAAGCGTCTGAGCTCTAACACTGTGATGAATTTAGGCATCAATTCATGAGTGTGTATTCAGACCTCTCGGTTTTCTTCACATCTAACTCAATCTTTAAAGTCACACTTCAGAAGTTCTCATTAGACTTGCTGCATGTGACAACACAGAGTCTCTGTGCCGGACGCAGGTCAGCTCAGGTTACACAACCAGAACAGCAGTGCTGCAGTGACTCTGGTGCCCTCATCTGGCCCTTCTGCTCCCCACACAGTAATACTGTAAGCATGCACTGACTGATGGTGGGCTGTGAGGGGTTTGTGGTTGTAGTCATACATAGTTACGTGTGTCTGTATAATCAGATGGATTAAAGGTGTATTCTAGTTTTTATAGTTGAGTTCAAAAGCCTCAGTGAGCTGCCAGCTTTGAAAGGAACAGTCACTGTCCGAAAGGATCATGACTGTAGCACCAAACTATTAGCAGACGGTAATATTTTAATCCCTGGCAAGTGTCCACAGTGTTGACATGCTAATCCGTGCTGAACCCTGCAGCTGCTGAAACATGACTCAGTTAATAATGAATAAAACTGAGAGGGCATTGTTTTTGTGAGACTTTGGAAGAACATGGCTCATGCAGTACAGTCCTGTAAACACAAAGGGAGTGTAAAGACGGGAGTGGAGCAGCGGTCCCAGGAGCCTGGTTCCTGATGGTTCCTGATGGTTCCTGATCACATGGTGCACGACTGAGTTTGTCAAAAAGGAAAGTTTGAAGTCTTAAGTTTCCTGAATCGAGTCGGTTCGACAGCTGAAGGCTCTGCTTCCTGTTCTTCACTTGGATGCTTTCAGTACACATTACAATGCACCGGCTCCAACTTTAGCATCATCTTACGAAATGCAGGGTTGTCCATAGACATCAATAGAAGTGCTCACGGCATCATCAGACATCATGAGACCAAAACGTTATGAAAGGCTCCGTTGTAGTTTGTTTGTTTTTTCAAATGCACGATAAAACATTTTGCTCGTCCCCTCACACCTTTCTCATTTTAGCAACAAAAACGTAGAAATGAGTTGCACAGACCTGACCTTGTGAACCTGAACTGCAGACTAATTGAGAGCCTGATGATGCTGTGAACTGTGAATCTGTGAAAGTTGTCGAGGATTTTAGTCGACATGTCAAATCTGAGGTTGCTGTGGTTGATTTGACTTGAAGGTGAGATGGCTGTGATTTCTTCACAGCTCTTTGGTGTTGTGAAATCTGGTGAGATCCTGATTATTTTAACAGTTTTCTTCTATGAATGTTGAAGCATGCTGCTGTGTCCTCCTCTGGTCTTACCTGCATTTAGGGAGAGATCATTTTGCTGACACCACTCCTGCCACTGCTCTTGTGTTTTCTATCACCTCGCCGTCAGCGATCAGCACAATGACTGTAGTGTCATCTGCTGAGTGTATAATGGGAAGTCTGGTCTGGGAAGTCACCCAGTCATATGTGAAGAGGGCGTATAGCATCGGATTCAACACTTATGCCTGGGGGAATCCACATGCTCACAGTTGCTCACTTATGCTTAACTGGTTTCAGACTCTGATATGGGTGTATGTGATGGATCCACTTATCCAGTTCAGGGTCGTTTGGGGCTGGGTACGCCCTGGACAGCGTGCCAGTCTGTCACAGAGCTCACAAAGAGACCTATTCATTCATGCTCGCAGTGATTCACACATGGCAAAATTTAGACTCTCCAGCAAACCTAACATATGTACCTTTGGGCTGTTGGGGCAGCCGAGGTGCCCAGAGAGACCCCACACAGACCAGACTGGCCCCGGCCGAGGGATTTGAACCCTGGACCAGTGTTGCTGTAAAGCAAGTTATGAAATGGCTGTTAGGTTTCTGCAAACCAACCATATTTGAGAATATTACCAAGTTTGTGTTTACAACATTGAATTGCTGCATTGCTGCTGAAATAACAGTTGTTGATATTTGATGTGTTCAGAGCATGAAAGCCTTTCTTATCCTGCCTGAGATCCACAAACTGTAAATCTGTATTATCCAGATCTGTCTTTTAGCTGTGAGGATTTTAACAAGCTATAACAAGGATCGCACACAGCGTTTTAATTGCACACTTTATGGTGTACATAAGAAGTCTGATAAAAAGTGTAAAAACTGCAGACAAGTAGAGGAAGTTTCGTTTGCTGCTCTTGCTCAACAGGGTTTAAATGTAGCTGTGTGAGGGGGCAATTTAGCCTTCGGTCCTTTCAGAGGACTTGTAAGTAGCTTGTAGTAAATTAGATTTGGCTGGAGTCTGTTTCCTCTAATAGAAGCAGGATTTCTGCCGTTAACATAGTAGTGAGAACACAGATGTTGTTTTTATAAGAGCAAACAATCCCTGAAGTCTGAAGTCGGCCTCAGAACGTTTTCAGATTAGGCCGCAGTAATCTGCACCCTCCCCAAGTACCACTGCCCCTCCCTCCTAGCTCCCCCGTTGGCCAGCGGTCCCATTACATCATTGTTCTGGAACCAAGTACCCTTTACATCATCATTCACTCGACTCTTGCGCCCATGCTACGACGTACGCCAAAACCAGTGATGCAGTACCTGCGGCTGCCTTCACAGTCGAGTCCTGCCTCGACTGTGAAGGCGGCAACAGTGAGGACGCATTCGTAACTGTCCTGAAACCTCGTTTTGTCACACGAGTCGATGCAGGTGTGGAGGTCTGCAAAGTTTTCACCAGTGTTCTGTTTTTTTTGTTTTGTTTTTTTTTTTATACACATCCTGGAATTTGAGTTACAAAAAGCAGACGTGACAGGAGTCAAGAGAAGCCATCATGAAACCACCCCGAAAATGTAACGAAGCAATTAAAGCACAAACTGGGTCGGAGGGTCTGATCAATAAAGTCAAACGTTACATCGGAAGCCTGTTCACAGGAAGATTATTGTTGTTACATAATAATAATAATAATCATAATAATACTATGGGAAAAATAATTCTTATTAGAAGTATTTTTGTGCGGCGTAGAGGTTAGCAGTGTCGCCTCACCGCAGCGAGTGTCTGGGTTTGAATCCACAGGCCGGGCCTTTCTGCGTGGAGCTGCAGTTTGCATGTGACTGCCCGAGTTCTCTCGGGATACTTTCCTCCCACAGTCTCGCATGCTTGTGTGTGTGTGTCCTGCCAAAAATCACATTTTATCCTCATTTCTTCTCAGACTTTCCTGATTCAAGGGGTAAAAATGCGTAAATCTAACACAACGCTTTGTGGGAATCTGTGTGAAAATCACAAATCGGATTCAAATCTATCGCTGTCTGCATACACAAGCTGGCATTAAATGTGGGCACACGGCAAGCTTGCGTTCATATGGGAATATAAGCATGATACAAAGGTTTGAGCCACTCGTCTTAGACGTGCTGTGCTCATCGGCTCAGACTGATTACAGCTTGCTGCCTCTGTCTATGTTTATTAATGTAGATGTCAGTTATTTGCAGACCTTCAGCAGCCGGGCCAACCTGTGCGATCTGCTGCAGTCACAGTTAATTATTTTGATTTGAATTACTTTGGATTATAGATAGAATTAGCTAAGCGCTACAGACATTAATACTACAGCTACCTTAAATAACTGTGACTTTGATATTGAAAAAATAATACATTTTTTAATCCAGCCTTTCATTCACATGATTGGATGAACATCCAGCGCTGAAAACAAATGAAAAAATGTCGTTTGGAAACAAAAGAAGAACCTGAAATATCACAATCGCATCTGTCATTATGTAACGCTGTGAATTAAAAATGTAGTGAAATATTTTATGATCCACATCATGTGACTGCCTGTTTCTCACTGCATCGTTTCTCTGCCCTTCCAGCTTTCTGCTCCGCCCACTGCGCTCCTCCCAGCCAACCGCTGCCTACAGTCTGGGATGGTTAGCTACTGAGCGGGCTACCAGTGAACGCTGAGCAGGCTGGCGAGCTCAGTGTCTGCCTCGCTGTCCTGTGATTGGCTGCTGGATGGGACTGAGGCCGAATGGAGCCAATGTCCAACAAGCAGGATAGCAACTCGTCTGAGGGAGATGAGAAAGGGTGAGACAGAGGGGTGTGGTGTGTGTGGTAAACAAAATGTGATGGAGTGTACATCTGCCTTTGGG